GTTAGTTAATTGAGATGTGATCATTGCACTCCGGATATGCCCATAGGTGCTCAGATCCTTCCCTCAATATAAATCCCAGCGTCCTGTGACTAATAGTTCATGTTCTGTGTTGATTGGTAAGTTTTTTTGTACGCCCGGTGTATCTCTCGCTTTTTGGCTTTGTCGATTTGTTAGAATGGTTATGTTCGTGTTATTTGCATACATATGTAGTTCTTTTCATGCTATTTGCATACTGAACATGTTGTGTTTATGCTGTGTTCCAACTGTAAACATGTTTTCTCTCTGTGTATATTCTGCCTTTTCTCTTTCCTTGCATTGCATCGAATCCTGGTCACCGACAAGAGAGCCATGTATTCTTATCCGTTCGGCCAGCCGCTCTTCGTTTACTTAAATAATTGTTATAACTGCATACCAAATAGTTATATTGTTACTATGTCGTACTACATAGTATAACTATTTTAATGTAGTTACTGAATATTTCTACAGCAGCGCCGGCTTTTACCTATACTGGATTACATGAAGCCGCGATTAAACTCATCCCCGGTGGCTGTTCAAACATCAAAGACTTCTTTGGTGCCTTTAACACGATGTGTTTTACAACTGTCAGTGGCGCCAAGCTCCTCTCACTGGTACGTGCAGTTTTCAATGTAACTGTATGTTGAGTTTTCACAATCATAACGCAGAGAAACGGATTAAATCGATTTACCTATAGAAAGCGTATCCGTAAATGTTTAACAGGTCAAGTAACTATAACTGTTTAACAGGCCAAAGTAAACCAAGTTTAAATTTTACAAGTTTTTGACTTCTAGAGGCTTAATTGACAATGTTAGTGGCCAGCAGAGAGCCAGATTGCTATAGTATACTCTGACAAAATGTAAAAAAACGAGAAAACGCAAAACATGACAGGTATTGCAACAGTTTGAAGGACACGACGTTAAGCAAAACAGTCGGCAAGCCCTATGTGGCGTGTAACGACACAATAGGATAATAACAATGATGATGTTTATGTTATTTGCATGCGTCGGTGTAAAAAAAAAATCAAGGGCCCTTTTCAACGTCTTCAGACATTTTTTGGCATATAGGGCTAGACACATATTTTATAGACCACTTGGCACTTGATGGATGACGCCTTTACTTCCCAGGACTCTACCTGGTACCCACTGAAGGCTGCGAGCGAAGGTGGTTAAAAAAATACTCGTCGGAACCTGAACCCAGGACCTTTCGATCCGCAGGTGAGTGTCCAGCCGCTACACCCCTTTACAATCGGCAAACTCCTTTACACATACGTTTTGTAAGAGCAAGGGGGTGGG